ATATTGAAATTTGATTAATTTAAATTTGTGTCACATATGACTCAATTCGAAGAATCGCTCCCTATTAAAAAAATTCACACCTAAACTTAAATTCAATACTTTTAATTAAAGAAAGAAAAGTCTTAATACACTACAACACATTTTTTGATGATTACGTACGTTGACTTGAAATATAATCACATGGATAAAAGTCGTTTCTTTTGGGTGGCATACGAATAAATTAAAGTTATTTGGAATTAAAGTTAGGTGCCTTTTGTGTGTGCGCAGGGGCATGCTTACATATGTGTGATCATAATATTTCTATAAAATTTAGGAAAAATGGATAAGTATCCTTCCAATCTATTCGAAATCTCAGAGACACACTTATATTATATTAAGGTTCTATTATCTTTTCGAATTTATTTTATAAATAATTTTCTACCCTTTTTCGGCCTACGTGGCACTATCTTCTGGGCCCAATGCGTATTGACAATTTTTTCAAGCTATCTGGTTGATAGTGCCACGTAGGCCAAAAAGGGGTAGAAAATTATTTATAAAATAAATTTGAAAAGGTAATAGGACATAAGTATAGTGTAAGTGTATCTATGAGATTTCGGGCATAGGTTGGGGGGTACTTATGCATTTTCCCTAAAATTTAAGGACATTACAAATTCTACTCCCAAATATTGCTAATTAGTCATAGTTTTTTATTGAAATTTTTTTATTAACAATGTTAATACTCTCTCAACCTTAATTTATATGTACTTATTTTTTTAGTCAGTTTTAATAAGAATAATATATTTATATATTTAGTAACAATTTAACTTTAAAATGTTCATATTATCATTAGTAAGATAATTAATAGCCACAAATATTTATGATTTGTTTTAGACTACAAATCTTTTCTCTTTCTTAATCTTCTTAACCAACATTACATAAATTAAAATATTTTATCCTCCGTTTTTCATGATGAATCTCTTGAATACAAATTTAAATTTAATTTAATCGTAATACAAATATGAGACATCAAATACCAAAGGGTGACAATAAAGAAACGTGAACACATGGATTTGTTTAACAATAATATCATCTCAAAAAAAGAAGAGTAAACCACCCTTTTGATTCTTGTGATTCAAAATTCATTACGTATGGGCGGTCATAATTAAATTATTATCTACTTAGGGCAGAAGTCGGTGATAATATGACGATAACAATATGAAGTATACTGTATATATTTAATGTCTTAAAATATATATAATAAAATTAAGTCATAATACATAATAATATCCTTAATTTGACTTCAACTGATAACTATGACCTTTAAATTTGGGTAACAAATAGACTTATTCGTCCCTATATGACGTCCTACAATTTTGTATACTACGTGACATCCTACGTGTATTATGTCACGTAAAATACACGTGTCTACTTATTTAATTTTATATAAGTTTAAGTGTCTACTTGTTTACACGCAAAGTTAGAGGGCATAGATATCAGCTGAATTCAAGTTTAAGAGAATATATGTATTATGCCTAAAATTAAATCTGTTAATAGACTGACAGGGACTTAACCATAAAAGAATTATTATTATTAGTGGTGAAATAAAAAGTTGCCTTTTTTCTTGCTTTATTTATACTTCTATTTTTTATTTTTTTATTTTTTTTAAAAAAAGACTTTCCAGGCTCTAAAAATGATAGATTGGGAAGCTAAATTTGCCACGAAACTTCTAGATTCTATTATGTTTTGGATTAGTTAAAAAGATTAGGTGAATTTAAAAAACCACAAAATGATTAGAAAAAAAATTATAACGTTGAAAGAGAAGAGAAAGTCCAATTAACATGTACTCCTTTGGTTCAATTTGTTTGTTTTATTTTAACTTGACATAAAGTATAAAAAAGTAAAATTACGTTTAAATTTTGTGATTTAAACTAAAGATATATAAATTAACGTACTAACATATCTTCAATTTTAATCTTATGATTTCGAACATGCTACGTAAAAAACTGAAACTAAAGAGTTGCCAAAAAAGAGATAAATCGAATATTACAATTCAAACTGTAATAACACTTATAAATCAACATATTCAATTTTATTTCATGGCTGAATTATATAACAATATATTCAATTTTATTTCTTAAGAATGTGTCAAATCAACGTAATCAGATAATATGAAACCGAGAGAGTTAATACAATATGAAATTTTGTGGTGCATACAAATCTTAATTCAATGGGAATACCTAATTAATATCACATGGATAAAGAAAACGAAAGACTTTAAGCGCTGTATGACCACCTATATCCAAAGAGTCACTTTTGCAATAATGTAGACTTTAATATATGTTTTAATAATATCATACCATATAATATAATTTTAAAATAAAATAAAACTTCAAGTACACTCAAAAGGCACGAGCTATTTTATACTTTTTTGTTACAAATTTTCCGTTCTTTTAAATTATTGATTTTGTTTATACTTATATTTTAAATTTAGTTCCCTAGTTCTTTTGCTTTTACTAAAATTTACGTTTTAATTGCACTCAGATTTGCTTGCTTTTGACTACACTCGAACATGTATTAAAAACATAAATAATATGCACTATGCACTTGATTTATTAAATATGTGCATAATTTAAGATAATTTGAGTTATGAAAATAAAATTATCTTTAACAGTAAATTCTTTATTTTTAAAATAATTTTTTAATATAAATTTAAATTAGTCAAATCAAATGGTTAATATATGAGTGAGATGAGAAATTTTAAAAAAAAGTAGTTTGAATTTTGTAGAATCAACATGACACACTTGTTACTTTGGCATTATGTGTAGTTTATTATTCTTATATTTTGTTGCTTTTAAATATTCTTTTCTGTCACTAGCCAAAGTTGGAATACAAGTAGTAGTAGCAAAGTAGGACATGTATTAAACTGTTTTAATTACGATCAAATTAATATGGGTTGTGATGTAATGACAAAACTGTTTCCCTTATAATTAGAGATCCTCTCAAGTAGAGCTCTGTCGTGCGCGAGTGGGAAACGAAAAAAAGAAGATAAGGACAACCCAAAAAAAAAGAAGATTATTGATGATTTATTATTCGCTTTTTTTTTTGTTTTGTTATAATGGCGAAATATTTCCCTATAACTAAAGATCCCCTAAATAGAGCTCTGCAGTGTGCGAGCGAGAAACAAAAAAGAAGAAGAAAATAATCACAACCAAAACCAAAAAAAGAAGAAGATTATTGATGATTTATTATTCTCCTTTTTTAATTTGACATAATCTCAAATCTAGACAAGAAAAGGCAAAAAAGTACTTTGTCTTGACCAAAAAAAAAGGTTCTCCGTGTACAACACTCTAAAACATAGACAAATATTACTATAACCATTTATTTGTTAATATTGATTATTGATAAGTTCTTATTATCAACACAAATTATATTAAGAGGCTCTTAATAAGCTTATTCAAAATTTGTTCTTATACTATTAAATTAAACATCGTATAACAAATTATTACAATTTAATCCACTGGATTAAGCGTACTAACATAGATATATATTAGTATCACATATCATCTCAACTTTATAATGAAAAAAAAACGTATATATTCCGTGAAAGAAAGTTAAATATATAAGTAATATTTAGTGCCAATAGATTTTTTTAGCGGTAATATTTATTGTCTCAAAAATATTTAGCAACAATTGAATTAACGTCATTGCATTCAGAATCGCTAAAGTTTTCAGTGATATTTATATAAAGTGTTGTTTATAAATATCTATATTTATTATTGCCGCTAAATAATCCGCAAAATTATTTATTTGTTAATATTTTAACCTCTTAGCAATATGAAAAAATATATGATTTCTTCCTATTTTAATCTCTTAATTATCTTTTTTTTCTCATCCCTTTTTAATTAACTTGTTAATTAACAGCCTTATACATCCAAAAATACTTCTATTTTTCGTTAATCCACTTGTTTGGAACACAATCTTGTCTGGTCCTATAACTATTCAAATTGTTTTCTTGATTAATAATTTTCAATATAATGTCCACTTTGCGTGAGATTAGGTTAACCTAAAATACTTTTCTGATATTTGGTAAAAAATATTAGATTCGTTTTATAATAGGGAAATCAAAGGTGGCTATATTTCTTCCTTCCTCCGTCCGTTTTACTCGTTCATATTTGACTTGGTATATCTTTTACTCTTTCTGTTTAGTTATTGACTTTGTATACTTTTCAAGAAATTATAAATAAAAATGTAATTTTACTAAATCATTCTTTGAGTATAATAAATACAACATCTTGAAAACATGTAATAGATAAATGATTATTATTAATAGACAAATATTGTTGGACATCCCAAAAAGTATAGTAAAAAAGTTAGACGGAGAGAATACAAAAAATAATATTAATTTATCATATCATTTCTATTAATCAGAGGTCATATAAATATTGAGAAATGAATACTGGTATTTAGTAATAAGAATAAAATAGATACGAAAAGCTTGTTTGGTACATGAAATAAAGAGATAGTAAGTAGTAACAAAATTAACTTTCGGATGAATTTATCAAAAAATTGCGTGATAAATTATCTCATAGTTAGTTATTGTAGAATTATAATGTTATTTTTATTCACTTGGGATAACTAATTATGCAGGATAATTTATTTCCCATCTAAACGAGCCTCATAGTGTCAAATTATATCTTAATTTTTACCATTAGATAGTAAATAATATTTTATCGCTATTTTTAGCATAATGAATAAGTAAAGATGGACGGAAAGAGTAAAAAAAGGAAAAAAAAAGTTAAATTATTCCAAATACTACGAGATTTTCTCTAATCTTGAATCTAAGAAAATATTAAGGCCACTAAATCTCCAACACTTGTTGCTCAAAATCCGTGTAAATAATAATAATAAAATGGAAATTCAATTCCAATTGATGTATATATAAATGTAATGTATTGAGAGCTGACTGTTCATAGAATCATCACCATTAACGCAATTCCCGCTTCATTCTCTCTTTACATAATTACAGAATTTTGGAAAATTTTAAAGATTAGTCGATTTCTTGAAAGTGGGGTTTTGTATAATTTAATGTATTGTAATATGTAGGAAAAAAGAGGAAATTTTGAGAGGTGGGTAATGATGAGAGATCAAGAAGATATAGAAAATGAAGGAGTTGGGGTAATGGTAATGGAAGATGGGAAAGATTTAGAGAGGAATATTTCATCTGAGAGTGGTTTTAGAGAGCCATTGCTTAAATCAAAGAGTAGAGTCAATAATACATCACAAATTGCTATTATTGGAGCCAATGTTTGCCCTATTGAGAGTCTTGATTATGAGTATGTGTAAATCTGATTTCTCTTTGTTTATTTGTTGTTTGGTTATTTTGTTCCCGCTGTAAAAAACAAAAGTGATGGGTTTTTTTTTTTCTGTTTTTCTTTGATTCTTGAATCTTCTTGAACATTTTCTTGAATTGTTTTGCATGGTATTGGATCATCTGGTTCAAAATCATGGCTTTTTCATTCCCTCTCTTTCGGGAGTGGGGAGGGTAGGGTGTATGTAGACCTTACCCCTATCTTGGAAGTAAGAGAGGTTGTTTCCGATAGAGCCTTTGTCTCAAGGAAGAAAAATAATTATTAAATTCAAAGCATTTCGAAAAAAAGAAGCTAGATGAGTGAATCAGGGGATGCTTATAGAATGTTATTTTAGCAGGTGATTGCAGAGAAGGAAAAAAATAATAATAGGAGGAGGGCTCTAGAAAATCAAGAACCGTTTATGCCTTAATCTTATAGTCTCTATTGTTAATTAAAAACTGGGGTGTCTTGTTTATAATTGGAATCATCCCATTGCTTTAACAACAAGGTAGTAGGTAGTGGTCCCTGCCAGTGAATTTTGAGGGCTGAAATTCTTGGTGAAGTGTGGTAACGGACATAATCTCATGTTGCTTTAAGACTTTTGTGTTGAGTTAGGGTTCTCAAATCTCAGACCATCTGTTCTGATCATTGTTTATCGGTCTACTTCATGGTATTTTCCCTGTGGTACTGATTATAGTTAATGAGATACTGATTTAGAGAAGTAAAACATCCACTTTGTAATAGCTTCAGCCTTTTTAACTAGGAAAAATGAAATGCATAAAGCCACATGCTAAGTACTGTTACTCAAATTGCTTGCTTCTGTTATTATTTCCGTCTTTGATGTTTCATATAACATATACAATACTGTTCCTAAGATCTTCTTTGCTCATATCTGGTGAACAATTTTAACCAAACCTTTTCGTCTGTTCAGAATCGCTGGAAATATCTAAGGGTTCTCTGATTTTGGCATTGCTAATTCATTTTTTGCAGCATTGTTGAAAATGACCTATTCAAGCAAGATTGGAGATCAAGGAAAAAGGTCCAGATATATCAATATATATTCCTAAAGTGGACACTTGTGCTTCTTATTGGATTGAGTACAGGACTTGTTGGTTTCTTTCTAAACATAGCAGTGGAAAATATTGCTGGGTTCAAGCTTCTGCTTGCTAGTGATTTAATGCTTGAGGATAAGTAAGTACAACTTCCATCCACCATAATAGCTTCTCAATATATGTGGTAACTTTGAACTGATTTATCTTGTATAAAACGGCAAACACAAATGTTGAATTTAATAAATTTTCAAACTATGAAAACTTCTAACCGACATTGTTCAAATTACTTCAAAACGGTGAAAGATGCAATTGAAGCTTTTTCAAGACTTGAGTTGCAACTATTGAGTGATGTCATAGTTAAGATGCCTTAGGAGTCTCGACCATCTTACAGCCTAATTGTTTCTGATGCATGACAGTTTTATAGTAAGCAAACTTCACAACAGAATAGCAAAGCAGTTCTGCACACATTTCTTACTATACCTTTAAAGAATAGTTGTTGTGCATCAGGGATAGGAATATGAGATAGATGAAAAAGTGTGCAACGAATGGCGAAAGCAAACATAGTTTCCAATTGCTCCAGCATGCTTGAATCCTTTTAAGTTAGAAGGAAAATGTAAGTAAAATGTTAATTCAGATATCATGGATACCTTTTCTCATTGTTGCGTGGGTACTGATAGTCCAAGCAATTTTTGATATCCTTTCTAGTTATAAGGATAGTAACTGGTTTGTTTCCTGTACTTCTGAAGTAACTTCTCTTTGATCGCTAAACTTCTTTGAAGTTACTATAAAGTGATTTTAATTCCACTGCAGGTATTTCCGTGCATTTGCTACTTTTGCAGGTTGCAATTTGGGTCTTGCGACTTGTGCTGCGATCCTATGTGCATTTATTGCACCTGCAGCTGCAGGGTCAGGAATTCCTGAAGTTAAAGCATATTTGAATGGTGTGGATGCTCATTCCATTTTAGCTCCTAGTACTTTATTTGTGAAGGTGGGTCTTTCTCTCTCTCCCGTCATGTTCCCTTATTTGAATGCCCACATGGGTGATTGGGCATCCTTATCAAACCGATGTAGGGATTTTGACCTTACTTGTCACAGTTCAAATATCAATGCTTAGTTTTTCAGGCATGGCAGATGTACTATGAGAGGAAGAGAGCGCTGGTATAGGGCGGATACCATAGGGAACAAAAAATGAGTTTCTGTATAAACATGGGCTGAATGTGCAAATGGTTGTAACTAGAAAACCTTTCCTAGCTATAAGACTCAGAATCTTTTGTCTTACAACAAAGGGCCTCCAAATAATTGTTTATTCATCATCCATAGAAGTATATGTTTAAGGATTTTATTTTAATACTCTGTAAGCATGCATGTTTTGTATGATACACTCCAGTCTAGTCTGAGTTGTTTTTTGCCTTAGCATGACATTAAATAAGTAATAATAGAATGAACTTCCGAAGAGGAAAATTGACTGACTCAGTTATATATGACCTGTTTTATATTCATTAATCAAACTTTTCCGTTGAATTGATAATCCATCCATGCTTGGTCTTCATTTTTCATCCTTTTGTTTGATTTCTCTGTCTGTAGTATTATATTGAACTATCAAATTTTGATGTGGATGCTTTAATTCCTTTGCTATATATAAATCCAACTGTCATTCCTCTAGCAGACTCAAATGATTCTTCTGGTTGATGTTCTGTGTGTGGGAAGTCTTTGAACCTGTAATGCTTTATTTTAGCATTTGATATTCTCATTTGCTGAAATCTATTCATGGAAACACTAATTCATATGTATTTTATATGGACAGATAATTGGTTCTGTTTTGGGTGTTTCTGCTGGATTTGTTGTTGGTAAGGAAGGACCCATGGTCCACACTGGCGCTTGTATCGCAAACTTACTTGGACAGGGCGGCTCCCGCAAATATCATCTGACGTGGAAGTGGCTGAGGTATTTCAAAAATGACCGTGACCGCAGAGATTTGATCACTTGTGGTGCTGCAGCTGGTGTTGCAGCCGCTTTCCGAGCTCCAGTTGGTGGTGTTCTTTTTGCTCTCGAAGAAGTAGCCTCATGGTCTGTCTCCCTCTCTTCCTCCACCACCTCTCTCTCTCTCTCTCTCTTTGTATTTGATTTATTAACGAGGCAAAAGTGAAAATATCTAGGTACAAGTTCTTTGTTGTATTAAATGGTTGGTCTATGAATTGGTAAATTGAGTAGGAAGAACATCTGAGTAGTTCTATGGGCTGATGTGTGAAGGGTATTCCTAACACGTGTTTTGGTGAAAGCATGCTCAATTGCATTTTGACTGTAAATTACAACTTTTTTCTGTTTTTTTATCTCTGCTTATTAATTCAGACGATTGATGCCATTCAATGGACAATGCTGGAGAAGAACTTCTCTCCGTCTCCTGTGGTTTCAGGAAGGCATTTGACATGTTAGAGATTTTGAACTGTTAAATTCTGAATAGAAGGGGTTTCTCTGTGAATAATCTGAATTTATTGTCTCTCAACCCACTCAAGGAGAGTGGGAGTTACTGCATTGATAAGCTGTGAACTTAAGGTTTGCAGGTATAGTTTCTAACCATGGTCTCCACCCCATTCCCAAAGATACTGTCACTGTTTGATTTAGATGAGAAAACTTAGATATGATGGATGTTAGATGTGCTGTGTCCACAAGGTTGTCAAAGATTCAACATCATGTGGTTCTGTGGTTTTCGTGAACCTTCTAAGGAAAACATACCAATAATCCATTTGAAGATGCTATCGTTTTCCAGTTCTTTTCTTGAAATTATTATAAGAAGGCTTGCAGTCTTAGATATTCAACTACTCTATTTTCTGTTTTAGGTGGCGAAGTGCTCTACTTTGGAGGACTTTCTTCACAACTGCTATAGTAGCTATGGTGCTCAGATCTTGCATTCAATTCTGTCGGAGTGGGAACTGTGGTCTATTTGGTCAAGGAGGTTTGATAATGTTTGATGTGAATTCAGGATCTCCTAATTATAACACTGTAGATGTACTGGCGGTATTGACAATTGGAGTTCTTGGAGGCCTTTTGGGAAGCCTTTATAATTATCTTGTGGATAAGGTCCTGCGGACTTACAGCATCATTAATGAGTAAGTCTCTTAGTTCTACCGTCGCAATATGTTTAGTTACCTCAAGTCCTTAAATCATGTTGCTATTTATCACAAAGCAACTTATAAGTGTGCATGTCCTAACCTTGGGAAATTAACTGCAAAATTTTCCTGAAGCATGTCTTGCGCTTCTTGTTTTATGCTGCTGTTTTTTATCCTTTCGTGCCATTCTTTTGGAGATGGGATTTGGAGTAGATAAATACAACTGTTCCATAACGTGGGTTATGGTGTGTACAAAGGTGGATCCAGGATGTCAACTTAATGAGTTTTTGAGTTTGGAATTCTACCACAGTCCATCTTATATAATGGGTTCCCAATCTATTTTTTGTATTATTTAGTTGATATTTTAACACAGACAGGGTCTGAGCCAAAGCTACTGGGTTCAGTAGAACCCCATAGCTAAAGCACTAGGTTGGCTTGGGTGGGTAAAAGCATATTTTGTCAAGACATATTATCAAATCTCACTAACATTAGTTTTAAAAGCTAACTATATTCCTTTGCTATTTTCTATCAAAACCTACTTCTTAATGTTCTTCCTTTCCCAAGTTAGTTGATGCTTGTCAAAGCTATCCCTTATTTATGTCTTACCTTTATATTTTATATATGGTATCACTTTTACCACTGGTTATCACATTATGTTTGCTTTTCATTTTCCAATAAGGAATTCAAGAATGTGAATATTCTTTGCGCTTGAGCTTTGGCTGCTGCTTTTGATTTTTCCATTTAGCTGATGTCTTGCAATGGATTGCAGGAGAGGTCCTGCTTTCAAAGTCATGCTCGTAATGACCATTTCGATCCTGACTTCTCTTTGTTCGTATGGTCTTCCATGGTTTGCAAGTTGCACACCTTGCCCTGTAGGCTTGGAGGAAAAATGCCCTACTGTTGGTCGCTCTGGAAACTATAAGAATTTCCAGTGTCCAGCTGGGCATTACAATGATCTGGCCTCCCTGTTTATGAATACCAATGATGATGCCATCCGCAATTTGTTTAGTGCAGAAAATTCAAGTGAATTCCACCTTTCTACACTTTTTGTCTTCTTCGCTGGGGTATATTGCCTTGGCATTATTACCTATGGAATTGCTATTCCCTCTGGGCTGTTCATTCCTGTCATACTTGCTGGAGCCTCATATGGACGTCTTGTTGGAAGTGTCTTGGGTTCGGTCTCTAATCTTAATAATGGCCTGTTTGCGCTCCTTGGGGCTGCCTCCTTCCTTGGTGGTACTATGAGGATGACAGTATCACTCTGTGTCATACTGCTTGAGCTCACCAATAATCTGCTAATGCTTCCGTTGGTGATGCTTGTTCTCCTTGTATCAAAAACTGTGGCCGATAGTTTTAACAAGGGTGTCTATGACCAGATTGTGAAAATGAAAGGCTTGCCTTACTTGGAAGCACACGCCGAACCTTACATGAGGCAATTGGCTGCAGGAGATGTTTGTTCTGGGCCTTTAGTAACATTTTCAGGTGTTGAGAAGGTAGGGAACATAGTACACGCTTTGAAGTTTACTAGACACAATGGGTTTCCCGTGGTTGATTTACCACCATTCTCAGACGCGCCAGAGTTCTGTGGACTTGTTTTAAGGTCACATTTAGTTGTTTTGCTCAAAGGGAAGACATTCACGAAACTAAGTGTACTGAGTGGCTCCAATATTTTGAAGAGGTTTCATGCATTTGATTTCGCGAAACCAGGATCAGGGAAGGGGCTTAAGTTTGAGGATTTGTCCTTCTCCCCCGAGGAGATGGAAATGTATGTTGATCTCCATCCTATCACAAATACATCTCCATACACAGTAGTGGAAACCATGTCTCTGGCCAAAGCTGCAATTCTTTTCCGTGAACTTGGTCTCAGACACTTGTGTGTCGTCCCAAAGACTACCAAGGTAAATTTATCTTCACCTTCTTATCCCCGACTCCCTCTAGGATAATTACACATAAGACTAGCATGACATTACAAAATCACCACTCTACAAAACTATCTATCAGAAACCTCTCTACCTCACAAGTGAGGTAGGGGTAAGGTCTGCGTATGCTCTACCCTCCCTACAGACCCTATTTGTAGGATCACACCGAATATGTTGTCGTTCTAACAATACTAGTTCTCAAGATTTGTTTCTTTTGAATTTGCAGAGAAATCCAATTGTTGGAATCTTGACAAGGCATGACTTCATGCCAGAGCATATAAAGGGACTGTATCCACATTTGGTCCATCACAAGTAAACAGGAGAAAATAACTCTTTCAACAAGCAAATGGCAATTTAGGGAAGTGTTTATACACACTCCACCATTGAGCTCTCTGTACAATCTTCCTAAATTTTTATTTATTTCATTGTTAAATAAATTTAGAAGAAAGATGATCTTAGCAGCACATGAATCAATTGCAATTTTTTTCTTTTTTTTGAATTGCTAACTAACAAAAAAATGTGTTCAGATAGATACTATAATTGTTAGTTTCATAAAATTCGCGAGAGGATTAAATTTTGTGAAAATTTGTTAGAAATGATCAAAGAATAACCCGCGGAGTTATCTTGTATGTTTTGAAACTCTTTGGTAATCTTTTTAATGTAGAAGTGCAAAGAAGGTTCAAATTATCTGTCTTCGATTTATAAAAATAGCTGTATCAAATTATGTCATTTTAAAAGTTCAAAGATAAGATTAATTATATTGTTCTTGAAGACAACAAACATCTTAGTGTAACATTCGATGATGAGATGTTACTCCCTGTCCCTAATTACTTATCTACTTTTGACTTGACATACTTATTAAGAAAATAATGATTACAATCTTACTCTTATTAATTATGAAGTAGACGGATTTTTAACTTAAGATTTTTAAGATGTTCTACCTTTTTCAAAGTAATTAATTGAGGGTATAATAAGTAAATTTTTTTTGTCATTTCTTGATTTGTCAAAATGGACAAGTAATTAGGGACAATTAAAAAAGGAAAAGTGAGCAAATAATTAGAGACAGAGAGAGTATATCCTAAGATATAAATAATGGCAAAATAGTCAAAAAATCAATTCATACAAAGCGTGTAAAAGAGAAATACTACAGATAATTTAAAATGGAGGGAGTATGTTTTAATTTGGAATTTAAATGTATCAATAAGAGTGACTGGATCAGTTATCTAGTGTGCATCCCAAATTAAAACGAAATTCAATAAATCATATTTTCTTTAAAATGTCTAAATATTATTTATTTCCTAACTCTTTTAGACCCTTTTAAGAAAAAAATAAATAACCTTTAACTCTAAATATAAAGTAAAATATACATATCTTACAAAATACACGGATATAATTAGATGACATAAATATTAACAATTCGACAAATTTATAAAATTTCACAAATGAAAGAATACAAAATACATTCTCTATTAGTTGAAAATACATAATTTAAGGGACTAAAAATGTAAATTTCTCATGATTTAATATGTCAAAGAAAATAATAGTAGTACTTACGTACAGGCGCATATTAGTCGGTTGATATATATACTAATTTGTAGTAACTGCCGAGATGACAGTCCAACGATCAAAATTCTAAGGAAAAAAAAAAAATTCTCTTCACAAAAATAATAAGTAAAACCTAATACCAAATCAGAAAAAGCATTTCCATTACCGCCATTTTCGGTATCTGTTAAATCTCCAACAACTGTCTATCCCTTCTTCGCCGTGAACCTCCATTGCATTGTTCGGTGCAATTTCAGTGAAGGATTATAATCTGCATGTAATAATATATGCAATTTCAGTGATCTGATTGTGTAGTTTTGGTATTTTATTGTGCGGACGGAGATTGTTTGATTTGGTGGTGAAACGGATCAATGGAAGCGATCGAGGAATTGGAGCAGCTCGGCGATGCGATGAGGCAAGCCGCGGCGTTGTTAGCCGATGAGGATGTTGATGAAGCTACCGCATCGAATAAACGGCCTTCAACGTTTCTCAATGTAGTGGCGCTTGGCAATACTGTATGTTTTATTTCCTCTGCAATTACTACATGATTTGTCGATTGCTTCTGTATTGTATGATTAATGATCTGTCTGTGTTAGTGTTATGTTATTTTTCCCTAGATGCAATGCCACATCGTGTGGGAATTTATGAAGTATTACATGCCTATTTTTCTATAAATGAATATTTGCCAACTTGATAGAAATATGGGCTTATAGTATTTGCACTCACCTGCTCATGGAATCAGCACTAGCATTGTTAGCTGACAATAACAAGCATATGATTGTCCAATAAATTTGTTTTCCTTTGTCCTTTCCACTTTGGTTACTCTTTTTGTCAAGTTTAACAGACTCACAGAGTTTTTTTATTGTGTGTTGAAAGGTCACAGCGTACAGAGTTATTTAACAATGGCTTTAATTGAGTTTGAATTTTGTATATAAACCAAATGTTTATTGCAATATTGTGAAAATAATCTTCAAGTTAATTCTTCATTCACTCCTTGTTACTGTGTGGTTGATCTGTATCTAAATCTTTAACATCTCAGGGTGCTGGTAAATCAGCTGTATTGAACAGTCTTTTAGGACATCCTGCTTTGGTTAGTTTCATTTTTACTGATAATTTCTATATATATATATATATATATATATATATATATATATATATATATATATATGATAATAAATTGTTGCACCTGTCTGTTCATGCTTCTATATTGTTTTTACCTTGATTTGGACAGCCAACTGGTGAAGGAGGTGCTACTCGTGCTCCTATATGCATTGAACTTAAAAAGGATAGTTCCTTAAACAGCAAGTCAATTATTTTGCAAATCGACAGTAAATCCCAACAAGTCTCTGCAAGTGAGGCCTTCTCCCAAGCTGCAATATCCTCTATACATATTATAGTACAGTTCTCTGTGAATCTATTTTCACTAAAGGCTTATAAATTGGTCATACTCTGATCATACTTGTTCACTCTTTGGCCCAACAAAAGGTGCTCTTCGCCATTCTTTACAGGATAGACTAAGCAAGATCTCAAACAAAAACCGAGACGAGATATATTTGAAGCTTCGAACTAGTACAGGTGTGTCTACTTTAGAAGTGGTATGGCTGTATTCGCTTTGTTTTTGCCATGTTAATCTAGTAGTAGTATTCTACACTTAGAAGGATACTAACTCCATAATTGGTTGACATTATTTTTCTTATTGGAGTTTTCAATCCTAGGATTCTTCTGATGATACTGTATTATTTACTTTAGTTGAACTTCGGTATAGTACATGGTCCATAAACTAGTTTTGCGGTGCACCTTAAGTGTAATTGTAATTTTTTTTTTTGTTTTTCCTGCGTTGTTAGTTTAGTTGATGTTGGATCTCATAAATTTGGATTGTCTTCTACTGATGTCTCTCTGTCCAAATTGCGTGAGCAGATAGTTTTCTACTTATCTTTGTTGCTTTTGTGGTTTTACCTTGCTGTACAGCTCCTCCATTGAAGTTGGTTGATCTACCTGGAGTGGATAAGGGACATATTGATGATGCATTGGTTAGTGCGAGATTGCGCATTATGGATTCCATTTTAAAATTCACTTTCTTATAGGTGCTTAAAGGCTGTTCTTTTTTCCTTACAGAGTACATATGTTGCGCGCAGTGATGCCATATTACTAGTTGTTATTCCCGCTGCTCTAGCACCAGAAATTTCCTCGTATAAAGCACTTCGACTTGTGAAGGAGCATGATGGAGAATGTGAGTTGTATCAGCAATGCTTCAATTATTAGTTTCAAGGAAATAAAATTTTCCAAATAAATATGTATTTCACAGCAAATTTTCTTCACTTCTCCATATCTCATAATTGCTGAGAGCATATTTCGCAAATGCTTCAGGTACAAGAACTATAGGTATTATTAGCAAGGTAGATCAAGCAGCTTCAGATCCAAAAGTTCTTGCAGCTATCCATGCGCTTTTGCTAAACCAGGGACCACCAAGCACATCCGATATCCCATGGGTTGCTTTGATTGGTCAATCTGTTTCTATAGCCTCAGCCCAGTCAGGAAATGTAGGCAATGATAATTCACTAGAAACAGCATGGCGTGCTGAGAGTGAAAGTCTTAAATCAATATTAACAAAGGCTCCTCAAAGCAAGCTTGGTAGGGTAGCATTAGTGGAGGTCCTTGCTCAACAGATCCGTAATCGAATGAAAGTCAGACTTCCAAATCTCCTCTCAGGGTAATGGCCTATTCCATTGCTTTAATTTCACTTTCTTGATTTATATTTGGTAAAATTAGTTTCGGAAACAATTTTTCAGTTTTTCTCAATTTAGTTTGCAAAGCAACATGTATTGGTGATTTCTTTTTCCCATTCTTTGGCCTCCACAAAATTATGTAAAAGTTGCAACAGATTGCTCATTGTCGTATGGTATATTTGAGTTTCTAGTCTCAATCTTCTCCCTTTTATCTATTTTTTTTTCATTAGCTACTTGTACACACACAATTTAATCCTTACTTTATAACTCCTGCAGGCTCCAGGGAAAATCTCAATCAATAAAGGATGAACTGGTAAAGTTTGGCGATCAAATGGTTAATAGTGCTGAAGGTACAAAAGCTTTAGCCCTTGAGCTTTGTCGTGAATTTGAGGATAAGTTTCTGGAACATCTTACAACTGGAGAGGTGAGTCTTGAAGTAGGAAAAAGAATGAAAGCCTAATGTCTCTTTTAAAGTTTATAGTCATGATATTGCTAACATGTTGCTTGAAGTTTCTGTCACAACAATTTGTCCAATTTTAAAGTGAATTGTCCTTGGAGAAATCAAGTGCTACTAGAAGTTCCTTTATTTAGTTTTTACCTTTTTGTTGGTATATGTTTATTGACAAGCCGGTGGGAAATCTTTCTCGTTTTTTTTTTTTTTTTAAGTCAAAAATATTTTTTAATGGCACACTTAGAGGGTGTCAAAATATGTCAGTATTGAGTGTGTGATGCAGCCACATCAATCTATCAAGTTTTCTCAACTACCAATACAAAAGAGAATTCATCTGTCAAGTTCCCTTTTTCAGTTTTTCGTTTATTATGTTAACCTAGAAGCCCCTCTGGCAATTGGGATCCATGATTGGTATACAGAAACATGTGCTATTTTAGTTGTTTTGTTTGGTTAGAAGTGTAATCTCTTTGGGTATATACTTACTGCATGTAAGCTAATTATGTAGGGCGGTGGTTGGAAAGTAATTGCAAGTTTTGAAGGCAAATTCCCTGATAGGATTAAGCAGCTTCCTATGGATAGACACTTCGAGTTAAAAAATGTGAAGAGGGTATATTTCTTACTCCATCATGCCTTCAGTCAAGTGCATCTTTATTGAATGATTCCTTATTCTTCATTTTCTCAAGTGAACCTTCCATGTTGACTGAAGGTTGTGCTAGAAGCAGATGGCTACCAACCT